CGACGGCTGGCCACCTGTTGGAGCTCTGGTGGTTAATTCCTAGAAACTTTTTTTTTGCGCTTGAAGAAGCCACTTTAGCCCAGAAGTAGCTCCCTGGGGTCCTTTCGGGTGTTTTTTGTGTCGAGTGAAAATTTCGTCTTGTGCTGGACCTTGCTGTGACTGCCCATCCTCCCGCAGCCCTGCGAGGGCTGAGGACCGCTCCGACTCTAGCCCAGCTTACAGCCCCAGCCGTGAGCAGTTCCTCCGACCGCTGGGAATCCATTCGGATAACTTCCACGGTGAAAACCCCAGGAGAAAGCCCCTTCCTCCTGCCCGTTCCGGCTGTGACCACTCCACCAAGCTTGGATTTTGACATCAGACACCGGGTTTTTTTCCTGCCCTTGTGTTTTTCGGTGAGGCCTCGGGGCGTTTTTTATCCGGCGCTGGCAGTGGCTGGAGGAGGACGCGGCTTGCCTGGCCCGTGCAGCCCTCGCCTCCCTCTCCTCCGCTGGCCGGGGCTCCGGCGCTGCTCTTGACTTTATTAGGGAAAAGCAAGGTGCTGGGGAGCGGACGGGAGGGAGCGGGGGAGCATCCTGACCCGGGGAACGGTGGGCTGCCCCTGGTCTTGGCTTCAGGGGCAAGCGCTTGATCCCATGGTGCTGATTGAAGAGCGGAGGAAGGACTGAGATGCCCCGGCGAGAGCGTTTCAGCGGCCACGTGAGGACCCGGGAGCGAAGAAGGAGATGAGTCGGGACGATGATGGCATGGGTGACGTCATCAGGAAAGCAGCCGCGCCGGCCGGGGAGGGGAGTTATAAAAAGGTAAGGGACAAAAAGGAGTCTTTTGTCTGCTAACAGTCACCCTCTTACCCGCCGAAACGCTGCCCGACACCCTGCCGGGGCGCTGGGTTTCGGGTGCCGGGACAGGGAAGCGCTCGGTGATGTTTAACGCACCGGCACGGGGCAGCGGACCTTCCTCCCTCTGCGTTTCCGTATCGCTTTGTGATAAAGAAAACGTGAAGAGCTCTTTCCAAACGCGTTCTCGTATCTCGAGACCCCTGGGCTTTAAGGCAACTTGCCACGTGGCTTGAAATACCTGAGTTGGGCTTGGGTTTGCGTTTCCCAGCAAATTCCCCCTGAAGAAAAAGGAGATAAAACCGAATGTTCTGTGGGTAGAGTTTCTGTTTGTAAATCCAATAATAGCCCTTGGACTTCACAGAGATAAAATAAGGCACTGCCTATGAGTCGGGAACTTTAAATATAGTAATTGTCCGTGGCTGGTAATGACAGACCCTGGCAAAAATAGCCTCGGTGGCCTGGCGGGGGCCCGGCCCGGGCTGTGCACCCTGTTTGGTGATGCTGTGCACCCCATCTGGTGCCGGCGGATCACCCTGGCATCCAGCCTCGTGCCGGTTTAACCCCTCGCATCACAG